GAAGAATGAAAGACCGAGCGCTGCGGGAAACGAATGTACCCCCCAAGTCTTTTCTAGCGAAGCAACGAACACCCTCGGAGTCTCCGGCAGCTTCGCTCGTCTTGCGCAGCTGTACAGTGCACTACACGCAGCTGCGCTGCCAGCGCCATCTCCGTCCAGACCGCACGACGAGAATGAAGAAGATCTTGAGAGTAAGGCCCTCGCTCTGGAGACGAAACTCGTGCACTACTTCGAGGACGAAGATAGTGACGAAGGAGAGGAAGACGAACGTTTACTACACAAGATGCTACGTCCTCTTACCGCATCTCTGATCGAGGCAATTGAGCGAGACACGAGCTCGCTGATACAGCTGCGTCTTGGTGGGAATCCGATGGAGGAAAGTAGTGCCGAGGACAGAGAGAAGATCATGTGGACGAGCTATGCGGTGGCCAAGGTGTTTCACGGGCTTACGACGCCGCAACTCCCGACACGACAGTGGCGCGACCACGTCTGCTGGCGTCGCTACTCCGACGTCGCCTTCGAGCGCATCGTACAGATTGCAAACAGAGTGTTAGTGGAGAATCAAGCTACAGCAAGTAAGGATTTAGCGTCTATAGAAGAATAAAGCTGTTCATGGGTGATAAATTACTAAGCTTGCTGTGAGTTACTTTCCAGCGCGCTTCGCGTAGTCATGCCCGACGTCGGGCACTCATGCATCGGAACACTGGAAGTAGGCTACTAGTTCTGACAGTGTGAAAGCATCGAGTTGGACCGAACATTTGTGCAGTGCGTGTTCTGTATTGTAGTAGCTGGGTACGAACAGCAGCGCAGTTACTGATCCGGTTGATGGAATGATGTGACTATAATGCCGTCGGAATCCAGCTTCACCTTTGCTCGTGAAGGGGCCACTATTGAGAGCTTCAACTTGGGTGTGGCATACACTGTGCTTAGCTTACGTTGAGACCCGGGTTTTGCTGGACTGAGAACCCAGCACCGATTTATACTGCGCGAAGTCGGACGCAGGATGCAAGACGAGATGGGGATTGCAGACCGGACCAAATCTGCTTATGCCGATAGAGCTGGGTTGCCTTCATATTTCTATCACAACCACATTTCTTTTTTTACACTCTGTCAAAACTGAAAAAACAATAAATTTAAAGATATAGAGATATAAAGTAAGAGAGGAACCTGCCAATGTGAGTGCGATCGGCGAGCATGTGCTCGCTGATAGACAGAGCCCAGTGCACGAACCCGGATGGGATGCCTGGCAAACCGTGGAAAACACAGTGGCTGAGTGGGTGGTCGGCGTCCACTCGCTCTCAGCCGCCGGTTGATCATTCGGCTTCATTTACGAATCGGCCTCGGAGGCAACAAGTGCCTCGAATCGCTGCAAGTTGCCTCCTGTAACTAAAGTCCCATCCCTAAAGCTGTGCCTCGCTCGGTACTACCGGACCGGTGTACCGGTACACTGTCCCCCACTTTTCCAGCTCGGTAGTCATGCCTATCTCTGCATCCGGGTGAGTACTGCACATCGTGCCACACACACTTTACACACGCTAATTGTCCGTGTGGTTTTGTCACCTCTAGACTTCAACAATCGACTCAACCGACACACTCAAATTCTTCCAGTTGCCCATCGCCCAAGTGATGAATCCTCCAGTAGCGGTGGTCCAACTGCCTACGTCAAAACCTGTGCAATCCTCTGACAATCCTCACACAGTCCATGGTCTGTATCTTGTCGAAGTCTTTACAGTTGAGCTGGTGCTGTGGGAGCCGTTCTACTCGGTGCTCTCACTGACCCCCAATAGCAACTCTGGTGCACGAATAGAAACTCACTCAACCGAAAGATCGCAGGCGCCATGGGGAGAGGTCGGAAGTGGTGTGCTCAGGAGGACGAAGCTCTGGCTCGCGCGTACAAGATTTCTGCGGAGAACCCAATACAAGGAACGGACCAAAAAGCTGCTGCATTCTGGGAGGATGTGTGCCGGCACACGGCAGCAGTATTCGACGGTGAAGCTCGATCTCTACAAGCCGTCAAAAACCGTTGGAGCATCATATCACACGATGTAGCAAAGTTTTCGGGGTGTGTATCTCGTGTAAAAGGTCGCAACGAGTCTGGTAAAAGGAGGCATCGGTCGATCACATGATGACCTCGATAATCCTGTACTTGACTGCAATGGCTCGTCACCAAGTGCAGATCAGCGTTGTGCCTCCTCTCCACGGCGATATACACACTCACCGTCGTCTCGAGACAGCTATTGGTTTCGATGAGGTCCTCGCTGCGATACAACCTGTTCCTGACGCGCTGTCGGCATTACCCCAACGCGTTGCCGACTTAGAGCGTCAGTTGCGGTTTGCTCAGTCCGAGGCTGCTGCCGCCGTGCGTTCGGTGGCACCCCACATCATGGCTCGTGAGAACGCGGAGACGTTCCTCAAGGCTGCAAACGCTGAGATTGAAGCCTTACACCACCACGTCAAGATTCTCCGCGAGTCGAACGCCAAGAACGACGCCATGCTCGCCACTGTTCAAGCCACTATGGAACGACACGCAGAAGACTTGAATCGTCTGCACTGCGAGGTCCAAGCTCGGGACTTTTTTATCAGCACGTTGCAGAAGAAGCTGGCTCGCGAACGCGAAGTGTACAAGTCTTCTATTGGCGCGAATACTGAGCAGACCCGGAAGCTCCACCTCCTTCTGGTAAAGCTTGCCCAGGGCAAGTATGTCGATAACGACACGCTCAAGGTCCTCGAGAACCAGCAAGACCGTAACACTCGCCTCCTCCAAGCGAATCGTACCCTCCGTGCACACGTGAGTCTGGCAGGGATGGATCCCGAGGTACTTCGTCTGGCTGTCGAAGGTACGCTCTTAATGTCGCTCCTTCCACCGTGTGTTCAG